TGTATCTAGATACTTTAAGGGGCAGTAATTATATTTTACCTTATCTGCAACAAACCCCTATATAAAAATTATTTGAGCACAAACCAAATATGATCAGCCAGCCTTACGCAGGTAAATTGAATGAAAAATAAGAAATATCTATTTTATCTGAACAATAACAAAAGCATAGGAAAAAATGAAATTGTCATTATTTACATTACATATTACCTTGGATGTATTTAGATTCAAGATTTAATGTGGGGTGTTCAAACATTCCTATGCAAATTGAATATTACTGTGCGTTAGTGCACAGCTATGTGTGTATTTGTTCATATGTTGTATATTGTAGAAAGGATGTATATAATATTCATATGATATTCAGACACTAGCTAATCTCATATGGTAACACATCCTTAAAAAGAAATCATGGTAAATTTAATTGAAAAGTATCATTTTCTCTCGGAGATCCAATTAACATATACCTCAAATGGGATCTAATAGATGGGAGAGAAAAGAGAAGCACAGTATATATATATATATATATATATATATATATATATATATATATATATATATATATATATTATATATAATATATATATATATATTATATATATATATACATTTAAATTGGCATAATCATCATCAAGATCATCACTTATCATCATTTACCTCCATCATTATCATCACCATCATCAAAATAAAGGATGATATAATGATAATTATAATGGTAATAATTTTTATTGTTGTATTGATGATGGTGATGATGATAATGATGATGGCAAAATAAATAAGTCAACTAATAACATGATGATGGTAAAAATGATAGTAAGAATCATGATCAAATAGTAATGATAATTATTATGATTATCATTATTATCTTTTTTATTTCTAATATCATTGTTATTATCATTGCTGTTTTTTCTGCTGCTGTTGTTGTATTGTTCTTATAATTACTGTTAGTGTTATCACAATTATCATCATTTTCCCATCGCCATCATAATTGTGTACTGTGTGATGCAGCGGTAGCGTTGACATCTAACAAACTTTTTGACCCGCGTTTTGAACCTGTGCGCTGCCAATGGGTAGTAATAGAGAGGCAGCATGTCACAGCAAAGAATATCTATGGTAACACTGGAATTCAAACTATAATTATGTAATAAGAAAAAAAAATAATTTTAGAATTTGAAAATTAAATAATTGTTGCTCTCTTTATGTTAACATCATGATGAACAAATCCCTTTTGACAAGTATACTACTGATTACATAATTGATCATATTGATAACAATTTATAATTATATAAAACAATGATGAGGCATAATAAAATTTGGGTTAATGCAATGATAAGTTAATAAGCCGATAAATACTATTAATCTTATATATCATGAATAATATAATGAGTGACGATGATAATGATTATAAGACGAATAAGATAATGATAATGACAATGAGAATGATAATAATTATTATGTTGTTATGATAATAATAAAAATGACAACAATGGTAATGACAGTAATATGAATAATATAAAGCAAATTATATATAAACAATGATAAAAAATATATGACAACAGTAATAGTATGTCAGAATAACGATGATGGTAATGAAAAAAAATGATGACAATAATCACATGAAAATTATAAACTGAATGATAATGATTATGTTAGTATAGCATAATAATGATATGATACTGTAATAGTAATGAATTAAACTCCTTTTATCACTGATATTATCCTAATTGCTAATAATGCTAATGATGATAATGATAATTATCATCATTATTATTATAGGGTAATTTATGTAATGATAATATTAAATGAGTGATAGTAATAACATTAAATAATAATTTTACCAAAATGAGACAGTAATAATAACATCATTATAAAAAACGATATATTAGATACATAGGATAAGTAAGATCATAGAATGTGTAGAGGATAAAAAACATATAATAGTAACCGAGTTTTTAAAAGTTACAGTAAAGGATTTTTTCGAGAAAGATAAGAGAGATGAAATAGAACAGTGTAGAAACACATATTACCGTACAAGCACTAGGGTGTGCGTTATGTAACTTATTATTGTTATGGGTAAATACATACGCTAATCTGTGCACACATGTACGCGTACAGACATACCCAACTAGCGTTTGCACAAGTATTGTTCTCTCTCTCTCTATCTTTCTCTCTCTCTCTCTCTCTCTATCTCTCTCTCTCCTGCTCTCTCTAAACAAAAAGACGAGAAAAAAACTTTTTACCTTATCTTGGAACCTTGTACTGCTATTAGGAATTTCCTTCCCTTCGAATCACAATTTGCCAGGTACCTTCCCGCCAGGTAATAAAAGGCAAGCTTACCTATGGTAAACATCCAGTCACGCCAAGGACTCGCTGCAGGGTGAGTGAAAGTGAGTTCATCTACGTTGGGTGTTTATGTTCCGTTCTTGGTAACATATAGATATATCCCAGGAGTGAGAATGGGCAGTTGTAAATATGTAGGCAGTTCAAAGTGATTTTATTGATAATAACAATACGTAGTGCATTTTGATGGCTATCTTATTGAATCTCTGAAATGTAAATATAAAGCAGTCCGCTACGAGTATAAATAAAACTGCTCACATGTATTTCTGCCAACTCACACCATGGTTATTTACATAGGAAGTAGAAAGGAAATGAGTGGATATCTGTGTAAATGGGAAAAAATCAAGGAACTGCATCGACCTATCGGAGAGTATTGATTATTAATTTCATGAAAATAATATATTCATATACGTTTAAGTATTCCCAAACTTACATACGTTCATATATGTGTGTGTACGTGTGTGTCCATGTATGTTTGTGTGCGTGCGTGTGTGTGTGGTGGGTTGAGTGTGTGTGTGTGTGTGTGTGTGTGTCTGTGTGTGTGCATGTACATATGCATGCCTATACTTATACACAAATGAATGTGTACACATATGCATATATATATATATATTATATATATATATATATTATAATATATATATATATATATATATATATTGTATACATATATACATACATACACGCACACGATTAAATAATTTACCCATATGTATGTGTGTATAATATGCATAATATATACAAGTGTGTGTAAATATGTGTGAATGTGATTATATGTGTTTCTGTGTGTTTTTAGGGAAATTAGCATTCATCTATAGACAAATGTAAATCATATTTCCCCCTCTCAGGATACTTCTGCATCCATAAACAACCACCACCATGTGTGACGACGAGGACGCGACTGCCCTTGTGGTTGACAATGGCTCCGGCATGGTCAAGGCCGGATTCGCCGGAGACGACGCCCCTCGCGCCGTCTTCCCCTCCATCGTTGGCCGTGCCCGTCACCAGGGTGTGATGGTCGGTATGGGTCAGAAGGACGCCTACGTCGGTGATGAGGCCCAGAGCAAGCGTGGTATCCTCACCCTCAAGTACCCTATTGAACACGGTATCATCACCAACTGGGATGACATGGAGAAGATCTGGTACCACACCTTCTACAATGAACTCCGTGTTGCCCCTGAGGAGTCCCCCACACTTCTCACTGAGGCTCCCCTCAACCCCAAGGCCAACCGTGAGAAGATGACTCAGATCATGTTCGAATCATTCACTGTGCCTGCCACTTACATTACCATTCAGGCTGTCCTGTCCCTGTACGCCTCCGGTCGTACCACTGGTCAGGTTTGCGACTCTGGTGACGGTGTGACTCACTTCGTCCCCGTCTATGAAGGTTTCGCTCTTCCTCATGCTATCCTCCGTCTCGACTTGGCTGGTCGTGACCTTACCCACTACCTGATGAAGATCATGACTGAACGTGGCTACTCCTTCACCACCACCGCTGAACGTGAAATCGTTCGTGACATCAAGGAGAAGCTTTGCTACATCGCCCTTGACTTCGAGAGTGAGATGAACGTCGCTGCTGCTTCCTCTTCCTTGGACAAGTCCTACGAGCTTCCCGACGGTCAGGTCATCACCATTGGTAACGTTTCCGTGCTCCCGAGGCTCTGTTCCAGCCTTCCTTCCTTGGTATGGAATCTGCTGGTGTTCAGGAAACTGTTTACAGCTCCATCATGAGGTGCGACATTGACATCAGGAAGGATCTGTTTGCCAACATTGTCATGTCTGGTGGTACCACCATGTACCCTGGTATTGCTGACCGCATGCAGAAGGAAATCACTGCTCTTGCTCCTTCCACCATCAAGATCAAGATCATTGCTCCTCCCGAGCGTAAATACTCCGTCTGGATCGGTGGTTCCATCCTGTCTTCTCTGTCCACCTTCCAGTCCATGTGGATCACCAAGGATGAGTACGACGAGTCTGGCCCCGGCATCGTTCACCGCAAATGCTTCTAAATGGCCGTGTATTTTTTATAACAATAAACGACTAATAAAGATGACCTTTATGCTCTACCTTCAAAGAGAAACCTTCAGCCTATATCCAATCCATTCACTATGCATTATGCCTGCCTGATTCCCACTGAACTGAACTGATCTTTTTGTCATCAAAAATATCTTTCCCACACAATTCAAAAGTGGAAGACAAAGAATTGGCAATTCATGAAACACTGATATTCTTTTTCCATCTTGATACTTCGAATAATGATATCTACATCTTCGCGATATCTACCAAATATTTGAATACCCATGGTTCACATATATAAGAGATTAAAGGAAAATAAATCACAGCCAATAACTTTGAGATGGGAATGAGTGGAATGATAGAAAAAAAGAAAAATAGAGGAATATAATAAAATTCGGAGAGCATCATGGGGTGTCAGAAATCCAAAGAAAAAGAAGTTGAATGTTAGAAAACAAAGCGGATTTCCTGGATCTCATTAATAAAGATCTCATTCCCACTGGGAAATGACATCTTCATCAAATGTATATATATACAGGCAGACAGAGATATAAAAACATAAAGTGATAGATATAGGTATTGATATGGTCATATGTATGTACATCTATATGTATATATATATATTCAAAGTTAAATGTATATGTATGTGTCCATATATATATATATATATATATATATAATATATATTGTATTGTGTGTGTGTGTGTGTGTGTGTGTGTGTGTGTGTGTGTGTGTGTGTGTGTGTGTGTGCAAACACGACCATATCAATCTAT